TAACTGTGTTGGGTTATTATTATACTTTGTTTAAGTAGTATTTCCAAAGGACACGCACATATCGTTATTATATTTATTTAGTGTATTTGTTTTGAGCTTAGTGGCCAACCGGTTGGTAACTATGGACGATAGATGAAGAAATTAAGAGTTTACACAGGCTTTATATCAGAATTTATTTTTTTAGAAAAAAAAAGCTATTTGAAAAATGTATATCGTATACTATGTTCTATTTAGTTCAGTTGATATAACAAAATGATTGGTACATGTAAAGTACTTATTGCATACAGTGTAAAATATCGATGTAAGTTTGTGTTTTGTTTTTAGATAGTGAGAATTCTTAGGAATCGTGTTTTCACCCCGTATATTAATCAGTGTTTAACCTTAATTTTACTGTATATTTTTTCCAATGTGATAGATTCAACTCTTTCATTGTATAATCAACAAAACTGGTTGAGGTTGTAACTACCGAAGTGACAAATGGTCAAATATCCGTTTTAAATTGCAAAAAAATAGAGCACAAGATTCATTTTTAAAAACAGTTAATAGTAGTTTGTCTGTTCGACTTATTGGCACTTTTTTTTTTTTTTTTTTTATGTTAACTAGTAGGCAAACGAGCAGACAAGCCACTTGATGGGAGGTGGTCATTGTCGCCCATGGACACGAGCAACCTTGTTTACACGTCTTTTGAAGAACTCCATGTTATAGCGCAAGGGGAACACTTCAGGAGGAATGCCATTCCACATCTTACTGGTTCGGGAAAGGAACGAACGAGATGCTCGAGTGGTCGTGACGTGTCAAGCATCGAGGAAGTGGGGATGGAGTCTTCTCCTTCGGCGGGTCGTGCAATGGTAAAAGAGTGACGGAGGCACCAACTCAAAGAGTTCGTCTGAGCACTTACCCTAACGATGCGTAGCTGAAATATCATTAAACAATTTCAATATTCTAAGGGTCGTATTCGAGAACTCTACTCAATGCTCAAGTCAGGACTTGAGCAGACTTGAGTATGATTTCAAGAACTGGAAATACGAACCTAATAGCAAGGACTTGAGTATGATTTTCAGTGCTTTAAATCATACTCAAGTCCTGACTTGAGCATTGAGTAGAGTTCTGGAATACGACCCATAAACTGCTCTTTTTTGTGATATCTCAAAAAATATTTTGTCACTTAGCCCCGTTTTCAGTCATTGGTAATTGTTTCCATATATTTTATTTATGCTAAGAAGTGACAGGACGAATAAATCGCGCGACTGGTGGTAAGCGACACGCCTATCCATAACAGTAGCAGTGTAGCTCAGATCTTTAAATCATAAACATCTGAGGGTCATTGCCACTGCACCCGTCACCCTGAGACGTAAGTTGACAAATCAAGTGCCTATAGTTTCGCCAGCACTCTTACCCTTCCAAACGCATATCCACATTACCGCTTACCTGCAGAAGTAAGTACGGTGGCAATACTTTCCTGGACGAAGTATGTACTGCGGTAAGTAAGTAACAACATTGCGACACCATGGCTCTCGGTGAGTTGAAACCATAGCGTTGCCATGACGCAACGCACCAGTAACGCCCGTGTGGCATCGTTCTTAGTCAGAAGAGAGCAGATATATGCGTGTTTTTCCTACCTATATATAGCATGAGGGTTTTTTCAAATTCCAATGTTATTAATCCGTAGTAAAAACCGGTTATTTTAAAATTTAAATTCTAACTAGACACTAACAAACATATTTAACTAACTCTGTTCGTTAAACTGTCACCTTTAACTGTATATTCATCTTCTGTTAACTACTTTTTTATACGAAAACTATACGCTCGAGCACCCACCCACGTTTTCTGCGAATAATGACTAATAGAACACCTACCACGTCTTTTTTTTTATAAAAACTGCTGGTTTAATAAAAAGCAATCAACTGTTTGATGTCTCAATCCTGTGGTACCTACGTAGCTTTTAAGCACTTAAATATAAATTTCAACCTTAAACCAATGATTTTATAGTTTCTTTCTCATTCTTATTCAAGTAGAAATTCTCCAAGGGGGGTAAAGCCAGTGACCACAAGAATATAAAATCGAAGAAGCGAATAAAATCGAGAAGTAGTGACATAACGTTTTTAACGCCGATTCAAATATTTGCGGTGTGACTATTATCGATTATGTTGTTAAGTTAATGACCAAAGAATAGCGGTTTTACGCTTCTAAATTAGATTATCCAAACACTGTTAAGATTATTAGAACTGTTTTTGTAGGAAATGGATCGTAAAATTGGTCCTTTAGTTTATGTGTTAACTGAGAAACCAACCACTGGCATTAAAAAATACGTATTATTTTTAAAAACCGGCAAAATCAAAAATACTAGACTGCGTTTGGGAAACCATAGGTTAGATAGAGAAAGAATTTTCTGGCATCACATTGTTAAAGAGAGAGCCGACTTAGTCAGATTTGCAGGCAATCCCAATTGGATGCAGTTTTTTTTTAATTTGCGCTTTATATATTCTTTTTGTATGATTATCAAGTAACGAAATGAACGAGCCGTGCATCGTGCAGCTGGTGTTAAGCGACACGCCTATTCATAACAGTTGCAGTGTCATTGAAAGCTTTTAATCGCAAAGATCTGAGGGGTACTGCCGCTGTGCCCGTCACCCTGATATATACAGTTAACAAGTCCCATTTGCCTATAGTTTCACCGGCACCTTACCTTTCAAAACTGGAACCTTTCAAAACCCTGTGTCGCGGGTACCACATAGACAACCACAAATTACACCCAAACTCACGAAAGAAATAAATGTAAACCATACAAATATTTCTCCCGGCCACGCAGTTATGTTCATTACTGTTTGTTACTGTTGCGACAGAAATAGATACGTGGTAGTTGTAGTACTTCCTCGGGTTCATCTTATTCCCAAGACGTTATATTGGTATTTAATAATTTATTTGCTTTAAATTCCAAGTTACGTATACGTTTGGGATAAAGAAAACATAGTGATGAAGCCCATATGTCGAAAAGGTTCACAACCCAACCCCAAAATGTGTGAAGTCCCCAACCCACCTTGTCCCTGGATGGCAGACGACGGCCTAAGCCCGTTTCTTAGAGAAAACCCGTGGGTCAGGTGATGATTGGCTGATAATAACGATAATACAGGCTCCACAAAATAATATGATAATAATACATTTAAGAAACACGAGGTTTGGTATTCGATTGCTAATAGCACATTTCAACTTTTCATAAATGAGTAAATACGTTTACCGCTCGGCTATGAAAATTATGATTTATGTGCGTATAACGGCTAATCTGAATTTAAACACCGCATTCCACGAAATACAACATTCTTTAGCAAACGCTAAAAGCAAAGAGAGTGCAATACTTGCTTTATCACTTCCGTTTCATGAAGTCTCAAAGCATTCATAGAATTTTTACATAAAACCGGAGACTTAACAGTAAAATGATGTTGCATTATCTAAGCTTAATGTCCCAAAAATTTCATACATTAAGTAAGATTACTTAGAGACGTTACGAAAAAAAGATACTATATCAATGTTAGCGTAGTTTCGAAAGCGACGGGAAGTGTTCATATTCCAGTGGAATCATAGTTTATCAAGTTTATGTACACGGCATGAGTCGTGTATGAACAAACACTTATAAACTTGGCTTCAAAGCAAATGTGTATAATATGAGGTTTGATATACATTTGGTGTTTATTGACTGAAATTACTTTCTCGGCACATCTGTTAGGTGAGTAATATAGATGTGGGTGTAAATTTACAGGTAAACGAAATTGTCAATGACAGTATCACAGTAATTATCTCTAAGTTTATTTTTCTTCTCAACTTTCTTCTTCTTATTTTAATATTTATATTTTTCAATTACGACCGAGACAAAAAAAATCAATTGCGTTGTTCAATTGGTTAAAAACGTGAGGTATTTGTTACATTAATTTATTTGTACATACTTACATATGCATATGTAAGTATTTACGCCCTTGAATTCCCATTAGGGTAGGCAGATTGCCACTTATCACGACGCTGACAAACCTCTCATGCTTCACGTACATTTACCAATCGTTTCATATAAGCCATCTTACTCTTCTCACTACGCACTACAGTATTTTTAAGAATACTCTTGATTAGATCTAAAAATGTTCTTCGAGGCCGCCATCTTCGAATGTTGCCTTCCGTTGTATATTTCATATACATACTCGTATTTCTTCAATCTACATCTATTCATCTGCTACATTTATTTGTAATGTCATTATTTATTATTTCACAAGTTCCAAGAACTTTAATTTAGAATTACCATTTACAATGACTACATCACTAAGTTTATTACTTATAATAACAAGTGATACCTATTCATTAAATTAAATGGCGTCAATGTACTTTAATGATGCACATTATTATACAGAATCGAGTTGTTCTATCGATAATATAATGTAGAAATCCACCTACCTCTGTGCACAGGAAATTATAAAATTTGGAAGGGAATCAGCGTTTAAATTTAACTGGTCCAAGGAATTTTATGAGCTCATGACCGTAAAAAGTAGAAAGATGTAAAGATAAGTTCCATTGTCGCCAGAGCTTCATTAAGGCCCGCATATGTCAAATATTTACCAAGACCAGATAAGAATATATTCATTACCATTTTTTAGTACAAAACGTGAAACCGTTGATAAGATACTAAAGAATCTTCAAGTATTGTTTGAATATTTTGACGGCGGCGTCGAAAATTTAATGAATGTTTTGGTTCGAGGGCTCTTGGAAGATTGATTGTTATGAATAAAAGCTTCTGTCGCGATATAATGTATTTTTTGAGAAAAGACGTTTTTTTATTGGAATCTAATTAATGTTCTATGAAAATTATGTACAGCAGTACTTAAAAATAATTTATTTCTTTGGTCTTTTTCCTTTATTAGACATACTAAGATCGACTCCGCATTCGAGAAGGTTTTTTATATACACATACAATTTAATATACTAAATTCTGACTGCTATTTATCTGTGAGTACAAAACTTACTGGTTCCGTATCGCAAGTCTCCAAATCTGGTATGGGCTCATCCCCGCAGTAATATTCAGTTTGCAGGAACGGGGGTCGCGGAGGCGGCGGCAATAGGAACTCAGGTGGGGGTCCCAAACAGTCACACTCCGTCAAATCCGTGGGCTCTAACTCCCACATCTCGTTATCTAACTTAACACTACTCACAACCTCACTAACACTATCACTAATATCACGTTTCTCGCGTTTCACTTCATTTGTAGTTCTTTCTTTTAACAAATTTGCTATGTAAAGTTCGTCGTCAACGTCAATCCATACGTTTTTACGGATTTCCTCTTCATTCTCTTCTATTTCTGTATCAGGCGCTATAAGACGTTCATTGCCTTGCACGAACCTATTTGATGCTTCAATACTATTTTCTTTTGCTTTAGCATTTTGTGCTTTATTAGCTTCAGTTAGTACTCCATTTAGGCCGTTATTTTTGTAGCTGAGATTTCTCCAAACATTTTGTAAAGTCCAAAAAGCGTAAGACGCCTTACTTGGACTCTCGTCGTTCCTTTCGGCCATACGCAGTCTTCTTAGTGGTTATCTGTAACAAAAGAGACGTAATTTAGTTTGTTGAATAGAACATTTATATTGAACTTCAATAAAATTTTTTTAAAGACCTGGGGGTCTACTCTCGATCTCCGTGCGACATCCGTCCGAAACAATTACTGCCAAATAAACAATACTTGACCAAATGAAAAGACGCGTGATGCGAATGAAGCTTCATACTGGATAACTTGTCTTTTAATTTTGTCGAATATTACTTATTTGACAGTAATTGTTTCGGACGGATGTCGGACGGAGATCGAGAGTAGACCCCCAGTCTTCTATTATTTTGCTAAAGTATAGGTAAATTCATAGGTTTGTAGTAACGTTATCTATTCGTAGAATTATATGTGCTTTTTCGGTTCGTAAATTACAATCCAAAACATGTTTTTACCATTAAACACTTATAAGCAAAACTAATTTTGATCGTTCATATATCAGGCTACTTATTATTTAATAGTAGAGCTAACACCTCATTCTGTTTAACAAAGCACCCGCAATTAGAGGCTACCACGTTCTTAGCACAATAAACTATACCGCATCGATATCATCGGTCGTTTTAATTTATTTTTTATCGCTACAATTTTTTTAAACTCTCCAAATTGGATGGCGTTGCATTCTGGTATTTCAACAATCATGATGGACGATTTCGAAAGTTTAAAGTTCGCTGTTCACTATTTTAAACACGGGTTTATTATAGGTTTAGTAGGTATTTAGGTGGTATCGTGGGAAAGTGTTGTTATTTGGAGAAAAATTTTACAAGAAATAAGTGTTATGCCTAAATAGATTCAAAAGCAACCAAAAAACATCACAATGACAACATTACTTTCTAAATTTAATTATAGTTGAGTTGTTAAAAGTACGCTAGCAAGAAGATTTTTATAAATCTTTTTCTTGCAATTTTTGTTTATCCTTTTAATTATCGTTAGCTTCATTGTCATTACCCTGTCTTCTTATTTTTAATCGCTTCCTCACTGCTGAGGATCGTGACTGCAGTTCAGTTCTTGATCTGATCCGACCACCGTTTGGAACTGCTGCTTATAGGACTCATTCCATTCACCTTCCTTGTCACCATCAAATGCTCCAGATTATCATCGTCTTAACGTGTAACGTGACCAAAATAGCGTATCACACGCTGCATGCAAATTGAAGACAAACACTGTGCATTCTCTATCTTGAGTTCCCCGAGTACAGAATATTTGCGGCGGGCTATCCATATTATTTTTAACAATCGAGGCCAGCACCACATTTCAAAGGCGTTAATTCTCTGCCTATCGGCGGTCTTGAGAGGCCACATAGAGAAATGGAGAAATGGAGGATTATATATCACCCAAAGTACGAATATATTTTTTGCTATTTATTGATTTAATGTGTTCAAATACTACCTACAGCATCCCACTAAACAAATACCCTCATATTCACACAATATCAACATATCTTCGACGCCCACACATATGCAAAAGCCCCTCAATCACATTACCACTTATTCAATATTCGGTCGAGAACGCTCGTTGACCCGCGACCTCGCAATCTGGAATCGCATGCATATTGTATGCCTACATCTTAATAATGTACGTATCTATTTGAGGAGTCTACAATATGTGTAGTTAAAATTTGCCTATTAAAGACCTTTAGGAAGATATTTTAATTTATTTATTTATTTCAATATTATTATAAATTTTAATTCATTCACAAGTGATTTTTACCATCTCAAACTAAGCTTTGTTTCGATGGCTTTCCAATACTATGTTGTTAAATGATTATCACTAATATCAGGTTTCTTACCACGGTATGACTTCAACAATGTTGTTAAAAAGAACATTAACTGAACTGAACTTATAATACATCTTGTTACTTGTGTTCTCAATTACAGTGATTTAACAAAGTATTTTACTCCTAAAGTATGTCACCAAAATTATTTAATATTGGAAATGAAATTATTTTTCCGGATTTAAATCGCGTATATTTGTTTTTTCAAACAAACTGACGTTTCGGACCCTTTACTGGTCCCATGGTTACGGTTGACTGAAGTGGTATAGTCTTCAACCAGTTATGTCTAATATTAATGCAAACCACCCTATGTTTTCACTATAATTACAATAGTTATTAATTAAATACCTTATTTTTAATTTTACGAAGAAACATTCCAATTTACGCTACATTAAGTTTTACAAATTATTTTATTGAATGAATTTTTATTAAGTTCAATTTATTAATAATTAATAATAGAAATTAGAATAAACTAAAACATATTAATTAGTACTGCAGTCTTATGTCTGTTTGGGATGTTTCATCAGAGGAAATACTGGATCCCAAACTGGTGGTACGGAGAAATCATCTTCCCTGTTGAAATTTGGATGTTTTTTAATTTCACTGGCTGCCCATACTTGTTGACCACGACTCTGAGGGTCATATTCCTAAACTCTAAGTCCTGTTTTGAGTATTGCAGTGAGCAATGAAAATCATACTCAAGTCCTTCCCATTAGGGTCGTATTTTCAGTGCCTGAAATCTGTCTGCTCAAATCCTGACTTGAGCATTGAGTACAGTTCTGGAATACGACCCTGAGATCTCGCATATAGTATGCATAATTTCGGTGCCACATCTTAATATTTAAATGTAGGAGTGTATTACATGACACGTCTTTATATCAACGAGTATGAATAATAAATAAATAAATAAATAAATAAATAACGCACACACACATAGACAACCACAAATTACACCCAAACTCACGAGAGAAATAAATGTAGGCCATATCAACATTTCTCCCGGCCCGGGTATCGAACCTGAGACCTCTGCGTGGCAGTAACCGTTCGGCCACAGAGACAGTTGACTTTTCTAGCAGTCTTCATCTCTTTTCAAATAATCTAGATGTACAATAATCTAACAATTTGATGAATTGTAATAATAAGCTGTATATCTAAAATAAACTTCATAGGTATTAACCACCTATTGGTTCCGTTATGTACACGAAAAAAGATGTAATTACAATCTTGCACTTTGGCTCAACAATCAATAATTTCAATGTTAAATTTTCCATATTATCGTCTATTCATAAGTAAGCTCCACTCTTACAATGATCTATAATGGGACTTCCAAAATCTATCTTTCTCTATACAACGTCATCTACGACACTACTAATTAACCCATCACGTCTACCGATATAACTCCTTGACATTCGACCACTTGTACCATGTCATTGAGGAATTGACGTCCGTACAATGGTCAACGAAGAGCCCTTGACTCTCTTAACGAACCTATTCTGTTGGTTTTCTCACGTGAATTATTGCAGTCATGACTGTTAAAGAGAAGTGTGGGAGAATTTTGCATGTTACATGTAGTAATAGAATTATAGGCAATTGAACCAGTGTTATTGATTTGGAATGTCATTCGAGGCTGTGCGAAGTGTTTTACTAATACTTGAGCATTGTTGAAGGCACAAATGGGTCCGTATTTATTAAATGATAAGAATAATGTAATGAATACTTTTGATTCAGTCTTCAGGATTTGGACACTGTCGTAAAAAGTCACTTCTGGGCAGGAGTATCTTGGAAAAAGGAGTATAAATTATAGTCTAACACACTTACTCTATCCTAAACAAGGATTTCACATAGACAGTGAAATGTATACAGAAAGGAATAAGATAATGTACAAAAGTTTGCATCTGTTTATATTCGATGAACTCGTGGTTGTAGCAAGGGCTGTCACATTTGTTTCTCGGCAGAAGCGACAATACGATTCTTTGCGAAGCAAAGGGCGTACATTTTTATCAAAATAAGGTTGTTTATGTAACTATATTAAGTTTTCGGGCTTACTCAAAATTCAGTTATAACAAATAAAACGTTTATGAATTGGTTGCTTTGAACACTTTTGAAAACTTTGTAGTTTGGTGTTTACGCTTTTTCTTCCCCGTAGTATTAATATGGCCTTTTCTAAATTAAATTGATTTGGGAATTTTGTATACTATCCTTTCCTCGGAATTAATTTCATTATTTTGGCTTTATTCGTTCTTTGAGTTTCTTATATTTAGAAGTAATTACTGTCAATGTATTATATTAAAAAATTGGTATTACCAATATTGAAGACGATCAAAGGCATCTTTCTTTTCCAGTACACTTTCATTTTTTTACCAACAAAAATTCTTAAAAGGAATCGTTTATCAAAAAATATCCCAAAAACCTTTCAAACTAAGTAAAAGGTAAGATTGGATGGAAAGGCATCACAAAATATAAAAGAAAGTGCCCTTAAAGTCAATAAAACGATCATAGATAAAGTACGTAGTAATTGAAAACAATATTTATATTTGTACCTACGCAGATTTGTAAAGAAAACGAACGAATTATCTTTGCAATTTATCTGTTGGAATAATTGCGTCGGTTTATCTGTAATAGCTCTGAGTAGTTCAAATAATAGTGAACATTTTACATGTATGAAAACCTTGCATTAGACAACGGGCCTAGGCCTTTGATCTCGAAAGTTCGAGTACGTTAATATTCAAGTTTAATTAAAAGGCTTACATGAAGATGATTTTTGACTTGGCACTAAACTTGTACATCACAAACAAAATAATGCAGATGCTGTTGTAGTTGTTATAACGTAAAAGGGATAAGAAAACTTTCAATTGGATAAAAAAATATTTATTATTATATTTGCGGTGATAAAAAGCATACTTAAGAGTATTATCATCTAAACAGCAACAGACACTTAGAGACTATTAAACAATTAAAGATAAATACACAACTCGTCTATTTGCACTGACAATAATAACCACTTACAAAGTCCATATGAGTCACATAGTTCCACATATTCAAGTCACTTAGTACATTTTGTTGGAAATGGACCTCCAGAGAGATTGAGTAATAGCCTTCGTGTTTTTGAGAAATCAATAAAATATCTGGAAAAGTATGTCTACAGTTTATAATATTTGTAGGTTAAATGGAATTTGCTAATAAAGTGATTTAAAGTCTGATTAAAAAAAATATTTTTCGTGTCTCGTC